AGGAAGACGAGTCAATTTGTTGATGAAAGATCTAGGAAGACACACGTCAGAATCTTCATGTTAAACTTTGTATATTATGTAAAGTTAATAATCATGTTAATAATTTATTTGTTTCTACTAATAGGAGGAATTTGAAACTAGACTTTCACAAGTTAGGTCATCTGCTGGATCTTGTGTTGGCGAACCTTAGTCCACTCCTGTTGACTCTACACATGATGAAGTTATAAGGTCCCGTTGTAGGGTGGACACAGTTGGAGGTAAGAATAAAGGAAGATTGTATGGGGTTGGACAACTTGCTGATGGTTATCAGGGTGGTTCAGATAGCTTGAAGCATCAAACTCAAGCATCCAACTCCTCAGTTGACTTAGAAGAGATTAATCAGTTGAGACAACGATTGTCTGTACAAGAAGAAGAAATACGTCAAACAAGGGAGCAGAATGAACGACTAGAGCACCAATTTAGAGAGTTTCAATCCCTTGTTGGTCATCTTCTACCCCCCATTATACAATCTCTTGTTCAACAGCGTCAACATAGTAAAACAGATGTTCAAGAGCAACAAGATAACCCACCACAGGAAGACAACATACCAGAACATCATTCTCCTGACTATTCTCATTATTAAATGTTATACAAACATCTATAGAATAATATTTCAATTCTACTTGTATGTTGATCCTTTTTTTAGGATTATACATTATGTTTCATTATGCATAAATTACAGTACATTTGAATTTACTTATGATTAAGTTGAGTTAGATTTATGTTTAATTGAATTGTTGAATAGATTATTGAATTGGACTGGATTGAATGTTATTTTACAAGTTATATGGGATGGAAAAAAAATATAATTGCCCTGAAAATAGAGGTGATTTTATCGATGGATTACTGACGGATAATCCATCGGTAAGTTATGCGCATAACTGGTAATTACCGACAGAAATATCCGTCGATAATTAACTATGACATTTACCGACAAACTAGCAAAATCCATCGGTAAATGTCATGGGTAATTACCAATGGATATATCCGTCGCTAAATTACCCATAGAAATATCTATCGATAATTACCCATAACATTTACCAATGGACTAGCAAAATCCGTCAGTAATTTTTACCGACAACACTATTACCGACGGATTTAGGACCATCGATAATATCTATTTACCGATGGATTTTCTTATTTACCGACGGATTTTATCCATCAGAAATTTCGATTTTTCTTGTAGTGATTAGCAAATCAAAATGTTACATTTCTTATCTATCAAATATGGGTGATTAAACTAGGCACAAGGATGTGTCCTCTAGAGACTCAGTTGAAGTTGAATTGTTCAGTTTTATAACTCGACTATTATTGGCAAAATATCCTAGTCATTAGGAGAACATCCTAACAAACTTTGCACTTAAATTAGCATTGGTGACATTGGCCGAAAAATAATCCATGCAAATATTGACCAAAAAGTAACACTAATAAATGTTAAGTGAAAAAAAAAAAAAAATCTGGATGACATGAATTGACATTGATAGAGAAAATCCTAACGAACATTGACCATGAAATAACTCTAATCTAAACCAACAAAAAAAAATCCTAACAATGTCAATTGAAAAAAAATCCACAATGTCAACTGAAAAATAACCCATAATAACATTGATGGAAATACAAATTTTTTTTATTAACATCTATCAACAAATAGCTTTGTCAACGACCAATAACATTTCGGTGAAACTGAGTCAATAACATTAATCAAAACATATTTTGTCACCTAAATGAGTCAATAATTCTTAACATGAAAATATATAAATTAATTGATGAATTATTTTAGATGTAAGATTTAAGGTCAAAGAATTAAGTTTCCGGATTTTGCTTGATTTTGAGTTTAATATCTAAGAAAAATAGTTGAAGTCTAAATTCAATGTAAAAATAATGGTTAACCTCTTTTTGTCTCACTAATTTCCATTAATATCTAGGTCTAAATTGTAATCACAAGATAAACCTATATAATTTTTACACATTTATACTTCAATTAACTAGATATAATTAGTTCACTGTATTAAATTGATATAGAGATATGATTCAATAATAGGAAAAATAACCATATATAAACCTAGAATTAATTCATTATGTGATTCATCTAACTCAACTGAGTATTTTTCAACTCCATGTAAAGGTGTGAAATTATAAATAGTTAGAACATTAACAAACCGAATATCAATTAATCATACAAAATTCATATTAAAAAACAAAGACTAAGAACCGAGAAAGCAAAAACAAAGTAAAATAATAGAAAATGTAATCTGCATTAAAGAGAGAACATCATAACAACTCTAATCCAGAAGTAATTGTAGAAAAAATAACTTAAAAAATCTAAATTATAAAATAAAAAGAAAAGAAAAAAGTTCTTATATCTAAGTTCTAATACTATAAAATAAAAGTTTTGAAATAAGTTATGCTAAGTGTTATTTACACATTATAGAATATAAAAAGTTATACAAAACTCAAGCTCCTTACAATAATACAACGAAATTGCAATTATGCAACTCAAGCGAAATATATTTTTCATGTAAAGAATTTTCTACCTTTAATTTCGTAATCTTAATCCAATCTCATCTCTTTTTAATTTATTATTTACGCATCAATGTAATAATATTTAAGAAAATATATAAATTAAGCAATTATTTAATTAAAACATTCTTTCACTCTAATTTTTTTAAAACCAAGGATAACACTTACAATATTTTACTAAAAATTAAAATCCTAATTTTTTTAGGTAGAATTTAAAATTGTATTATTTAAAATAATCTAATTATTCTAATTAAATTTTATAATTTCATTTTTTTAATTATATAAAAACAACATATTTCTTTTTAATAGAACATCTCAAATTTTCCGTAAAAATAAATTATCTTCTAAAACTTTTTCATCCAAACACATTCTTAAAATTTTAGATATTACCTTACTTTCTTATTACTCATGTTCATTCGTCACTTTATTTCTCCATACGTATTGTCCCGTATTTAAAGACAAAATATATCAAAAGGACGTAGCATTTCAAATTTTAATTTTTAATAGATCTAAAAGGATGAAATGTTGAATTTCAACAATAAAAAATACCATCTTTTAAAAGTATTATTGTAATAATAAAACAATAAAAACAATATAAATAGATAATTATGAATAAGTTAATAAATATACAATTTGAAAAAATGTTCTAAAAAGAAAAATACTAAAATGTCCTAAAGATATTAGTTAAGGTATCAAGAAATTAAAAGTGAAAAAAAAAAAGAAAAAAGAAAAATAGTCACATTAAAATTGTAATATATGCATGTGGCATAGTTTTAATAAAAACTATAATTTGTAATTTTTTAACTTTTCTATATGATCCTTTAAGGAGGGAGTTGTAAAAGGGGACAAAACATGTAAAACTATTTGTAAACTAAAAATTCAAAGGATCACGAAAATATGAGGAATTTGAAAGTTAGATGAGATTACAAGTCTGTAATATAATTGTAAAAGTATCTAAAATAATATAAAATAAAAATTAGAATAATTTGCCCTTCTAGCTCATTCAAAAGCTCTTAATCTTGTGGCTTAACCTTGTAATTGTACATTTCAGGAAAAAAAAAAATCACAACACAAAAAGTATTTCATTTTTTAAAAGACGGGGACATTCGTTTTATTAACAACACAGAATTTTATCTATATATTGTAGTGTTTCCATTCTTCTAAGTTTGTAAGATTTTTAACTTTAGAATATCTACATGCCAAAAATTCATTCAGTATCTCTTTGTTATATGAAGAGGTTAAAAAGTAGCAGTAACATTAGTTGTAAGTAGGAGATTTCTAATGATAGCATACGGCTGAAAATAGGAAACAACCCTGTTTTCGATAAATACATGCCATAATGGTCTCAACTTGTGATAAGAATGTTCTGTCTCAAGCATATATTAAAAATAGTAATACAACATCCATAAGAATGTTGTTATTTCTTGGTGATCGAACATAAAATTTAGTTCATCAGTGGTTGTGTTTTCGTTACATTACAGCAATATTGAAGCATATATGGCCACAATCTTTAACCTGCTAACGGAGAACTAAGTTGGCGACACAAGTTATGATGCCAATACAGCTAGTTATTGAGCCATCTTCCTGCCTATAACTTTCCCTTTTTTCTGAAAAATATTATTTGTCAGAAGAAATGGATTTTAGTGCAGATGAGACTTTATTCTTGTCAATTGAACAAAACAAATTTTTGTCGTATAATGTGTGCATTTCTGCTCCACCCAATATTGTTTCAGATGGTTTATGGGGTGGCCAAAAGAATGGCAGGACTCCAATGAAATCTTCACTCCCATTGTTTGAGTTGCAGGTTCTAGTAATTTTTTCTATCACCCAGATCTGCCGATTCCTCTTAAAGCGCTTTGACTTCCCCCAATTTATTCCATCCATGATAGTAAGTTTTTTTACATATTTTTATGTTTATTAAACTATAGTTTCCTTGTTCACATTGTTAATTGATGTGTCTCATGTAAGTAGAGAACAAACTAAGCTAAAGTTTTGAAAGGGATAGATGGAAAACATTTTGAAGGCTTTTCCTTATATTTGTACATCATGGCCTAAAACCAATCCATCATATATGACAAAAGTAAGATGATAGATTATAGGTTTAATGATCCTTTTGGTTTCTTATATATTGCAATAGGACTATTTTGATACCAGATTTAATTACATAAATGGAATCCTTCAAGTGTTACAATTATGCAATTTTCGTCTGTTGATCAATCTTAAGTTTGGTTGGGATAATTATTTAATAGCAAATTCAACCAAATTATTTTATGTTGCCCTTTGCTTTTGGTTTTTGTTTTAGGTATGCATAATTTTCATATGAATACAAATGTAGAGAGTTGTCTCTCTTGCTATTTATAGTTTCTTCCATACTACATCAGTGACAGTCCCTCCTAGAGACACTAAGGAAGACTTATTAACTGATTCTTAAATTGTTCCTCATGCAGGCTGGCCTGATTCTAGGTCCTGCCATTCAGGTAGAGATATTGGAAAACTACAGAGAGAAGTTGTTTCCATTTCCAAGTCAGGGCACACTTGCAACAGTAACATCAATTGGTTATGCACTTTTCATCTTTACAAGTGGGGTGCAAATGGATTTGAGCATGATAACCAGGACAGGACACAAGGCATGGACCATTGCAATGACTGGATTGTCTGTGCCGTTAATTGTTTGTATTCCAATTGCAAACATATTCACTAAAAATATAAGTATTCATGTTGGAGATGGAGATCAGTTCTTTGATTTTTCCTCTGTAGTGCTCGCAGAAACTATAATTTCATTTGCAGTCGTTGCCTCCCTCCTCAATGAACTTAAAATCCTTAACTCTGAACTTGGCAGGTTGGCATTATCCTCAGTATTGGTGAGTGACATTCTGAGCAAAATCATCACGTGTGTTACCAGTATCTTAAAAGATAGCCAAGATAACTTTAACATTGTAGTACTGTTGGTATCACTGTTTGCCTTTGGCATCTTTGTTCCATTAATTTTTCGGCCTGCAATGTTTTGGATCATCAAACATACTGCAGAAGGAAGGCCTGTGAATGATGCTTATGTCTATCTTATCATCATAATGGTCTTTGCATTAGGTTGGGTTGCAGTTCAAATAGATCAGGACTTTATCCTAGGAGCTTTTATTCTGGGGTTGGCAGTGCCTGAAGGACCACCATTAGGATCAGCATTGGTCAAGAAACTTCACTTCTTTGGTAACTGTTTCTTCTTGCCAATTTTTGTGACTTGCGGCGTGATGAAGGCAGATTATTCCCTACAGTATTATTCATCAGAACTAGTTTTGCTCACTGCTTACATCACTTTTTTCACTCACTTTGTCAAAGTAATGGCATGCACTATACCTGCCCTCTTTTGCAAGATTCCCTTACAAGATGCATTGGCTCTTGGCCTCATTTTGAACGTGAAAGGCGTAGTGGAAGTTGGTGTCTACGGAATCTTATACGACGAGGGGGTAATGTATTTAGTTCCACCTTCCCTTTCCTTTGAATAAAATTAAGGGTAAATTATAGTACTTCACTTCCTTACAATGTCACTCTTTCTCATCCTACTTCTTTGAGAAAGAGTGAAACATCGAAGGGTAAAATTTATGTTGAGTTTGAGAAGTCTTATCATTGTATATATTAAGTTCAATATCAAATTTCATTTATATGTGCATGCAGACAATTGGTGGTCCTATTTATGGAATAATGATAATCAGCATAATGGTGATAGCATGCATTGTGAAATGGTCTACGAAACTATTGTATGATCCATCAAGAAAATACGCTGGCTACCAGAAAAGGAACATTGCAAGTTTAAAACCAGACTCAGAGCTGAGAATACTTGCATGCGTTCATAGAACATACAATATATCTGCTATAAAAGATGTCCTGGATCTTTGTTGTCCAACAACAGAGAACCCAATCATTGTGGAAGTGTTGCATTTGATCGAGCTGGTTGGAAGGACCTCTCCCATTTTCATTTCTCATCGCATTCAGAGAACTATCTCATCGAATTGCCACAAGTCTTATTCAGATGATATCACTCTTGCCTTTGACCTCTATGAACATGACAACATTGGTGCAGTAAGTGTATACACTTACACAGCCATATCTCCACCCACCCTGATGCATGACGACGTTTGTCAACTTGCATTGGACAAAGTGGCATCCATTATAATTCTTCCATTCCATATAAGATGGTCTAGTGATGGTGCCATTGAATCTGCTGACAAGAACACGAGGACCTTAAATTGTAAGGTCCTAGAAATAGCTCCATGCTCAGTGGGAATCCTTGTGAGCCGTTCTCCCGTTCCAAGTGAATCATTCATTAGGCTAGCAATGGTTTTTTTGGGTGGAAAAGATGACAGAGAGGCTTTGCGCTTGGCCAAACGAGCAACGAGGAAGTCGAGGGTCAACTTGGTTGTGTACCACCTTGTTCCAAAGGAATACAGACCAGACGTGGAATATCTACTAGATAACATGGCACTAGAAGATATTAAGACATCACAATCTAGCTTGGGAAATGTAAGTTATCACGAAGTCATGGTAAACAATGGACATGAGACATCTCTCTTTCTTCGCCAAATAGCAAATCAACATGACTTTTTCATTGTCGGGAGAAGAAATGAACTGGACTCACCTCAGACACATGGACTTACAACTTGGAGTGAATTTTCAGAATTGGGTGTCATTGGCGATTTGCTTGCTTCATCAGATTTTGAGAGCAGAGCGTCTGTTTTTGTTGTGCAGCAACAAGTGAAAGAAACATAATGTAAAATGGAATAACATATATTCTTTCTCTTCCCTTGTAAACAATAATAATATAGATATTTTTTTCTGTTTATGTTATTTAGTGTTGCATGCTTTTCTTTCATATCCCCCCACACTTCGTCCATAATGACTAAAATAGCCTTAGTAACTTTACTGAAAAAGTTTATTTTCTGAAACATGTAGTCCAAAATAGTGAGAACTCAATACCAAATGCATGTTCCAAAATAGCTTGTTTGAGACTATCCGAGATAGTTTTGTGAATATATATTCGGGAAATCAAATATATGGTCAGGTCCAAATTCTACAATATTGGTTGGAGAGTCTCAAGGAAGAAACTTGTTGTTGATACCTTGGCTTTTTTTAAGGTTTACTGGCAATACCCAGTATTGACATTTTTTCTATCTGTCTAAAAGTCCTCCTCATACACTAACAGAAATAACAACCAACCAGGAACACCTATTAATTACAATTTTACCCTTTTCTATTTTTTTTTTCTAACATACACCAGTGAAGGTTTTTCCCATTCCCTATTGTCTCTATAATGTCTAACAGGTTTTCAGTTTTAAATTTGCATACTATTTTATTTTTACTAGGCCTAATAGTCCAAATGGCTCAGTTTTGATTTGAGGTAAATTTATCTCTACTTCAACATCTTTTTTCATTTGGAGAATCCATCATAATAAGTTGACTAATGTGAATAACTTAAACTAGCAATATATGATTATTGACTGCCCTTTTTCGAAGTGATTTTGGGTCTAGCTTTGTAGCCTTTTTCGTTGTCACATTACAGCAGCAATCTACTTTTCTGCTATTTTAGAATTCTTACAAAGGTCTTGGAGCATTAAAACTAGAACTATCGTTCAGGCATATTTACTTGTATCTTGAAGGCCATATGGACAACCAGGAAAATATTTATACCTCCTTCCCAGCTTATCCTATATATGAAATCTATTATTCAATAACTCATCATTCTTAAAATCCTTGTGGAAGGCTTTGAATTGTGTTTTAATCAATTTCTCAAGACTTTTTTGAAAAATCGTATTTACATATATCGTTTGTCTTTAGTGGATATTAAAAAGCAGACAAACATAAATTTTGATTACATGATCTAATGATCAAACAAATAGACGATGGTTTTCACAAACAAGTTTTCTTTAACAAACACTTTAACTACAATTCAAGATTAGTCAACAAGATCAAGCACAAAACATAAAGATAAACGTAGATATTTTTATATTAGTTTGTCTCAACATGAGACTACATCCAGTTCTTACAACACGTCAAGTTCTTCTAGTAGATTAAAACTACAACATGCGTATTTTTTTTAATGTTCTCAAATCTCTTACAAGCACATGAGTATTCTTTTAGCAATCTTCTCCTCGCTTCCACAACACGAGTATTGTTTAAACAAACAAGCCACTCCTGACTTTAATAAGGAAAATAATTTTTCAAGGTACTAAATCTTAAGGTTCAATCAACAACTAGACAAAAAGACTGACGTCTAAAAGATGACTATAACATAGAGTTCATTCTAAGTCTAGATAACTTTCAACGTTATATCAATGGAGAAAATTTATACAAAGCTAAAAAAGGAATTTTAAGAAAGACTTGATACCATGAAAGGTTGTTTATTTTTTGTTGTGTGCTCTGTACTTGTGTTTCATGGTTTCATTGTCTTAAATTCTAAGAGCAAAAATAGTTTTTTTTTTTGTTGTGTTCACTCTACTTGTCTCTCATGCTTTCATTGTCTTAAATTCTAAAGAACAAAACTACTTGTAGGAATTAAACAATCTTCTTTTTCAATTTTGAGCATTCTTTTGATGCAGTTAACATTTGACGTTCAACAATAAATGTTGAACTAAATGTTATACTTCTTTGAGATGTAATATTAGCTAGTACTCTGTTTTTTCTGTTTTAGAAGTTGGTAGTTCGAAACAGTTAGTAGCCTATAAATAAGGATGATTGTTATGACCTAGGGAGATTATTGAAATTCTTTGAAAACTCTCTGTAAACGTTTCTCTCATAATACAATACTTTCGGAATCCATTCTTCCCTAGGCATTCCCTAAATCTTCTAATTCTTCAAGCATCTCTCCTAGAATTGTCTACATCAGTCGTATCAGCTGGACACCTTTCCTGTGACGAGTATGGCAGAGGCAACAAGAAGTCAATCCACATTACATGAACAAGAAGAATGGTTAGAAAACCATGTGACAACAAGATTGGATACAAGACTCATGGAAATTATGACTTCCATGAGACAAACAATGGAAGAAAGAATCCAAGAAGGTCTCAAGATCACAGTTCATTCACATATTCTTGTGGACCAAGATTAGCCAGAATTGAGTTTCCTCGCTTTAATGGTGATGAAGTGAAACAATGGATTTATCGCTGTGAAATTTTGTTAGCCATTGATGGAACTCCTCAGGAGGTTAAAACGAAACTTGTTGTCATGAATTTTGAGGGAAAGGCGTTACAATGGCGCACATATATGATGCAATCATTTTTGCTTCACAACTTACCTGTGTGGACAGAGTTTAAGACACTGTTGATTGAACAATTTGGACATGTTTACGATGATCCAATGGTTGATCTCATGCGACTGCGACAGACTACATTGGTTGCTGACTATCACGAAAAGTTTGATGAAATTGTCTCTATATTGCATCTTTCAGAAGAATATAAGATTGGTTGTTTCTTGAGCGACTTAAAACAGGAGATTCAAATGGTAGTGTGCATGTCCCAACCAACTACCGTGCTGAAGGCTTCTCAGTTGGGAAGGTTATATGAATCTGTGACAACCTCTTCCTCTCCACAATTCTGAGTTTGGAAGCTAAGGTTGCATTTCAAGATTTGAAAGATAGTTTGGTTAGTGCCCTTGTTCTTGCCTTACCAAATGTTTCCAAACAATTTATTATAGAGGTGGATGCTTCAAGTACAGATATTGGTATTGTCTTGATGCAAGAACATCATCCTATAGCTTTTATTAGTCATGTGTTGAACTTGCAACAACAAGCTTTATCCACCAATGAAAAAGAGTTGTACAAAAGTGGAGGCATTACTTGCTTCATTCACACTTCATTATAAAGACAGACAATAGGAGTCTTCAGTACATATTGAACCAAAGGTTGACCACACCCTTCCAGCAAAAATGGTTGGTCAACTTCATGGAGTTTGACTTTTATATTGAATTTAAACAAGGTCATACTAATGTGGTCGTTGATACATTGTCCAGAAATGATATGATGGAAAGCAATGTTATCACTACACTAACTCCTGATATGGAATTGATGGACAGAATTAAATCCTCACGGCATTTTAATGTAACATTATAAGCTTGTTGAACTAATATGATTAATCTTATCTAAAACATGAAACTACAACAGAAATTCACAACAAAAGGATTGAAGATTGGCTTTTTATCATACTTTAGAAAGGGAAGGCGAATGAAGAACTGGTCACAACCTTTTCCATATTGGGTATAATCTCAATGCATGAGAAAGGGAGACGTGGGGCGGATCCCATAATAACCACGGAAACACCAGATAAAGCAAAACCAATGAAATAATAAATAAAGCAAAATGATGAGAGGTACTCTACCTGCCACCCCAAAGAATGTATGAAATACATCCACCGCATCATCTGGCCTATCTGAAATCCCACCATTTTCTGTGTCCTTATAGTTTCAACATACAAAATATTTCAGAAATACTAACCTGACAATAGTTTATGCTCCAAAATAAAAATAAAACAAAGTACATGCGGATCAGAGAAGCCATTTAACTAACTAACCTGGAAGTCTATGATAAACTTTATAAGCTTCTCCTTACTGATCCAATGAACCCTATCAATCACGGTCAGGCTTGAAAGAACCCACCATGAGTAGCAGACCTGAGATGATCTAAAACCTACTAAGAGAAAGGAGCATCATCTAAAGCAGAAAATATATATTTAAAAAGATTTACTCGCATCAGGAAGTTTCTCAGGACGTCCATTCAGACCTCCAGATTTAACCTGTCGCTCACATAACCACCAACCTAGTAGGTCCTTGTCCACAAGATCTAGTGACCCCGTTATAGCAAGGGCTCCCACACAACAGAAAACTGACAATAGGAAAAGCGAATATTTTACATGAATTATTCAAGTCTATAACCCTCTTTCATTTGAAAAAAAAAAAAAGAAAAAAAGAAAAAAAAAAGAGAGATAAAACTGCGAGATTAAGCCAATGTTCTACTTCAAAAATTGGTATGTTTAGAAAAGTAGAAGACTTCTCCTTATTCCCTAAAAATCAAAACAAGGTTCTATATATATAATTATGGGTTCCAACCAAAACCTGTTTTCCTAATCTACAAGTAGATAAGCAACAACTAACAGAATTTTTAATTTTGTTCACAGAAACTTGACCCCAAGTCCTTTACACTGCTCTCCACTCAAAATTTGGATATTGAGTTTACAATTTATGTAATTATCTCCATGATGCATCCTCGGGATTGGTATGTCCCCACTAAACTAATACCTCATTAATGGGTCTGTTGTTCTTCCTTTTCACCCTTCTATCCAAGACCATCATAGGTTTGACAACTAAGTATCCATCTACACTGAATATGGCAGTTGTTGTGAAACAACCTGGCTGCCATGATGTTTCTTCAAAAGAGACACAAGGAATGCAATTTGAATTCTGGTTTCTGCTGGAAGATCCAATTTGTATGCCACTTTCCCAAATCTTTCAATTATGAGGAAGAGGCTTCGTGATATCCCATGGCAGAAATTTGGAAGATGCAATCAAAGGAGAAGAGAAGAAGAGAAATATGGTATGTATTTCATTCTCTGAGAGAATCTATGTTTTTGTATATTTCTGAAGAGAACAGAAACACAGTCTTTAATAGGGTTTCAAAAACCCTAAAATAGAAAACCTATTCTACTGCATAAACAGTAACAGAATAACAAAATAATTTGTTTTAATAGCTTCCCCGTGATGAATGTTCATCAATCCAAGCTTGA